GCCCTCATCGACCGCCTCGCCCGCCGCGCCTCCTCCCACGGCGCCGACCTCCTCCTCCTTCCCGAGGCCTTCATCGGCGGCTACCCCCGCGGCGCAGACTTCGGCTGCAAAATCGGCTCCCGCCTGCCCTCCGGCCGCGACGCCTTCCTCGACTACTTCGCCAACGCCGCCGACCTCGGCGACACCGTCGGCGACAGCGGCGCCGGCGCCGGCGCCGCCTGGATCAACAAGACCCTCCCCGCGCAGTTCCCGGACCCCGAAAACAGGGGCTACACCCGCGGCGACGGCACCCGCGAGGAGCTCGAGCGCATCGCCGCCCAGACGGGCGTCTTCCTCGTCGTCGGCCTGATCGAGAAGGCCGGCGGCAGCCTCTACTGCGCCGTCGTCTACGTCTGCCCGCGCAGCGGCATGCTCGGCAAGCGGCGCAAGGTGATGCCCACCGCGACGGAGCGCCTCATCTGGTCGCAGGGCTCGCCCGCCACGCTCAAGGCCGTCTCGACCGTCATCAAGGGCGTGCGCCTCAACCTCGCCGCCGCCATCTGCTGGGAGAGCTACATGCCGCTGCTGCGCCAGGCGCTCTACGCGCAGAACGTCAACCTCTACCTCGCGCCGACCGCCGACGGCCGCGACACGTGGCTACCGCTGATGCGCACCGTCGCGTGCGAGGGCCGGTGCTTTGTCGTGTCGTCCAATATGGCGGTGCGGCCGCCCCCGCCCGCTTCGTCGACGGAAGCCGCGGTGGAGGATGCCGAGGTGAGGGATGCCGAGGTGTATCCCGCGCGCGCGAGGCGGAACTCGTGCCTGACGGAGGACGGCAACGAGATCGCCCTGCCTGCTGATGGCACGACCGCCGCGAAGAGCACCACCTCGACGGCCACGAGCCCCTCCCGCCGGCGGAGGAAGAGCGTCATCGTCGAAGACGGCAACGAGATCGTGCTCAGCTGCGACGCCGAGGACAATAACAACGCCAACGCCATCAACGGCGCCGGCATGACGACGACCAACGGCACGACGGCCAAGAAGCAGCAGCAGCAGGCGGCGCTGAAGAGCGAGGACTGGATCTCGCGCGGCGGATCGTGCATCGTCGGGCCGTTCGGCGACGTGCTCGCGGGCCCGCAGTGGGAGGACGACGAGGGCATCATCTACTCCGACGTCGACTTTGAGGACTGCATCCGCGGCCGGTTGGATATCGACACCGCGGGCAGCTACTCGCGCAACGATTCCTTCAAGTTTTCCGTCGAGGGGCTGGATCTCGATCCCTTGCCGTACTAGAAAAAATACAAACCAGGCAGGTGTTCTCCTTTTCGGGTACGACTTGTGAACATGAGCAAAGTAGTCAAAAGTATGAACTGTTTCACTCGTAATGCATGTATTCTCAATGCGCAAGTCCACGGCTACACTGCGTATGAGCCCCCGTGGTAGTGATATATCCATGATCCCGTCCATAAACCGATGCCTCCGTTCCACCCAATGATGCCTGCCGCCCAGATATCCCCGGTCCAATTTCATTAGTGCAAAATTCGTTCGTCAAGAGTGCCGCGATCGTGTCGCTTCATCGATCCTCGCCTTCCTTTGCCCGGCTCGTTCCCTCTTCTCTGTCGTCTGTGTCGCCGATCTCAGAGGCTTCCCGCGGGCTCGTCAAGGGGCTGGCCACGCCGCCAATGCTCCCACTGATGCTGTCCGACCTGCCGTGGCCCAACAGGCCGCTCCGCACGCTCGCTCCGTCGCCGGCGCCGCTCTGCTTCGCATAAAAACTGTTGCGCTCGCCGGGCAAGGCGGGGGCAATGCCCGTGGCCGAGTAGATGCTGGTGCGCTCGGCGTTAGCGATGCGTGAACTGCTCTGGTGGAGGCCTGGGGTGGTCGGCATGCCCGCGCCCTCCCCGATGTTGGCGCTGAGGACGCTCAAAGGCAAGCTTTCGCGGCTGCCGCCCCACAATGACGAAGGCGCCAGGGCGCGGACGGAGGCATCAGTATCGAGCGAACGACGGCGACGGCGCTTCGACGACGAGGCTAAGGTGATGATGGATGCATTATCGGTAAGGAGGTTGTTGGCCGTGGCTGTGGTGTACGTCGCTGGGTGGCCCGGACCCTGGTTTGATGGCGCCAAGTGGGCTGGAATGGCGGACGCGGGCGATGCAGTCGGGAAGGGCTGGTTGAAGTGTATCGAATGGGTATGGCCCTGGTGAGAGGTGTGGTTGGTGTTGGTGGTCGGGTTTGTTGGCACGTGGGTGCCGCCGTTTGCTGGCATGGATTGTATGGTGGTGAGAGTGGTCGTCAGGGATCGCACTGACGGAGCCGGTGATGAAAAGGTGCTGTCGCCTCCCCTGCGTGACTCTACGCCCCCAACCGTCCGACTTGTTCCCGCAACCGAGGGGGCGTGGTGAGATGGGGCGACGACAGAATGCGCGCCATCGTAGTCTGTCGAAATCGTGGGAGCCATGGATCGGCCGCCAGCAGTGGGCGGGGCGCCGCTGTCATCAGATGATACGCGCGACTCTCGCTCGACTGATGTTGCGCTGCCGCTGAGGGCTGTGGAAAAGGAGTAGGAGCTGGTCTCGACATCGACATCGGCATGGCTGGCGGAGGCTACGCGGCCTGACTGGGGGTATGGGTTGTTTTGTTTGGAGGCGCGGCGGAACTTTGCGTGTTGGCGCTTGGAGCTGGGTAGACGAACACCACCGCCATCGCTGGACGAAGAGCTCTTGAAGTTGGTGAGTTTCTTGACCCAGGTGGAAAAGGGACGGCGGCGACCCGCACGATCGGGACGATCTAGCATGCTGTCAGTTTCTGGATAGCCAGAGCGATTGGCGAGGCGGCGCAAGTGAGAAAGTTGGCGAGGCATTGGACGGTGGGCAACTGATTGCGGCGGCGAGAAGCGTAGGGAAAGGTGCTTAGTTACCATGGGGTGGCAGCACAGCCTCAGTCGTAGCCATTCGGAAGCGTGTGACTTTTTTTTCGTGGAGTTGTCGAGCCGGCGGTTGTGAAAAGAGTGGTTTGAAAGAAAAGCACTATCAGCGGTAACTCGCTCGTATCGCAGTCGTCGCAGGAGGGGGAAATGGCGAGGCAGAGCGTGAAAGTTCGGATGTCGTCGAGAGAAAGGAGTCGAGCGAATGTTGAGAGCGAAGGCGGCAACGATGGTCGGTGAAGAGTCGGGTTCGGAGATGAAGAAGCGACCGTGGTGGAGGACGGGGAATGGTGTGTGGGAGAGGAATGTGGTCGTCGGGCTGGATTTCGCGGGCAATCTGGACAACGAAAATGGAGGAGGAGCAAAGAATGGGAATGGGGAAGGAGGAGGACAGAAATGGGATGGGAAAGGCGAAAAAGGCTTGGCAGAATTGTTGGAAGGCAAAGGCGAGCGGAGCTTGATTGCCTGGGCTGGAAGCGAATTGGGACACTGAGGTGGAAGGGCTGGGCTGGATGGGGCGGGGACACTGCCCTGGAGCGTGGCCGCGGTGCAGCGCCCTGCCCCCAGCAGTCTCCACTACGATCCACGGCGGCCCCGGCCAGTGCCCGTTCGACAGTCGTGGACTGCCCGAGGTGGTGTTGCTGCCCGTCCAACTAGGCGTCTACCACTGTTAGGTACCTCCTGCCTTAGGTAAGGCATCTTGGGCATGGAATGGAAGGCAGCCCAGTGTGTTTTATTCCAGGCACCCTTAGCTGCAACAGCTAGAAAGGATCACCAGGCACCGTCTCCTAGCACTTCACCTCAGACACCCGGCCTCACCCAGGCCGGGTAAGGTAGCCTGCCAGAAGGTAAGCCGGGAAGCGCCCAACTGACCTCTGAAACTGGTGTGCGCCGGTCGGGTGTGGTGCCTACTTTAGGTACGTCCAGTGGTCCAGTGCGAGCGTCTCCCTCCACTGGCAGTGGGCTGGGATCACTCCACTGCAAGGTCCCCCAGGACGTGGACCCCTACTGCCAGCACTCCATCCACCTGTGCGAACCGTCACTGGCTGATGCTGCGCGAGGTCAATATCCAGCGCAATCAGGCTGCATTATGTCATCACTGCTTGCTGCTGCCGTGCTCTCATCCGAAGTGTGATGTCACCGTCCTCAAACGACTCAATCCTACCTGCCCGGGGTAGGTAGGTTTGTCCTTCCCAGCATCGCGATATCCTGGTGCAGCCATGACAGCTGCGTATCCGGACACACACAGAGGAATACGAGATGGTGTAAGAGATAAGATAGCCAGTCATTCGTGCGAATACGTACTGAATCCCCTAACCCATCCAATGCACAACGGATACGGACACAGGCATCACATGTAAGACATTGGATGGCCATGTCAGCCACGATACTCAACATCAGACGGCAGGTTGAGGCACCAACAGCGGATTACAACCTCTCGTCGTCTTTCTTCGTGTCGTTACCACCAAGGCACCCTACCTAAACCTTACTGGCCTTACGTTGTCCTGCCTCGAATAGGTTCCCAGCCTTCCTGAGACTGCTAGACTCCCACTGGTACCCTACAATCTGCTAGCTTCACCTCGCCCTCCAGCTTACCTGCTGGCGCGATCGAATGGTCAAAGCTCTCAGCTCAGTTCTCAGACACCTGCAACACCTAGTTCCCACTTTCGAACTCTCAGACTCGCATGGCGTTGATTTGAGCGACTAGCTGAACTGTAAGAAAGTACGGAGGCAGAGTGGCAGAGTGGCATGTTGCCCGCTTACCTGAGCATCTGGGGGGGCCTTTAAAATTGACGGTGCTGCGCGGCTGCCCAGCAGCAGTTGCCGCCGTGTAAGTGGCTCGTTCAGCCCAGCCACACCTGAAGTGCGCCGTGGCTCGGGCGTCGGGCAGCTGGTACCCGCTCTTATCGTTATCGCCTTCCGTCGAATTGTGACGTCTCACTTACAATCTCGCCCAGCAGCGACAACCACTGGCCCTTTTGGATGAAGGAGGCCGCTTCCAAACATAACCAACAACCAACTCCCGTCTGCATTGAGGCCAGCTTGCTCGATTCAACGCACATCGTCATGGCGCCTCGAGTCCACAGCCGCCATCATGTCCATTAAGCCGCTGCCTGAGGACGTCATCCGCCGCATCATGTCCTCGGCAACCATCACCTCTCTCAACGCCGTCGTCTGCGGCCTCGTCAAGAACTCATTCGATGCAGGCGCAACCAGGATCAACATCACCGTCGACTACTCTCGGGGCAACTGCACAGTCGAAGATGATGGGCTTGGAATCCTGCCAATCGAATTTCGGGAGGCTGGCGGACTAGGCAAACTGTACCGTAAGTCTTGCCGCACTGACGCTCCCGTTCAATCATCCGTTGACGCATTTTTAGACACATCAAGACACTCCCCCGAGAGCGAAGTCCACGGCGCCAACGGCAACTTCCTCGCCTCACTCGCCGCATTGTCTCTGCTTTCCATCACCTCTCATCACCATCTGCATAACTCCCAAAACTCTCTGACGCTCCACAACGCCAAAGTCTTGGCACGCAACGTCCCTGCCTTACCGGAACAGCGTCTCCTTGCCTTTGCCCATGGAACTCGAGTCATCGTTAGGGACCTTTTCGGCTCTATGGCCGTCAGAGTCAAGCAGAGAGCTATGGCCTCTGAGAAAGCTGCCGTCGACAAGGAATGGTCCCGCCTGGTTCACGACCTCGCCGCTCTCCTGCTGGCGTGGCCGACGCCTGTTGCCCTCTATGCCCGAGACACCATCCACAATAACGAGATACGCTTCAAGCCCACCTCAACGTCAAGTAAAACGGTAAAATCTAATCTCCTTGGCCACTCATCATTGATTTTGGCCCAGTCAGGCCTTTCCGGTGGCTTGGACCATGTCTCATGGATCCCAATCGGGGCCACAAGAGGGAAGCTAACCATTGATGGGTGTATCTCGTTGAGTCCAGTGGCAACTCGCAGGGCCCAATTTATCAGCTTTGGTGTTCACCCCGTGGCTAACGAACACGGTACCAATGTGTTGTATACCGAAGTCAATCGCGTCTTTGTCAACTCCGGTTTTGCGATTGAAGAAGATGTGGACATGTCACTGGACCAGGACGAACTACTGGAGAGCCTCCAAGGTCTCGCTAACAGGAATGTTCGACCGAAGAGGGGCTTGGATCATTGGCCCATGTTCCACTTCAAAATCTCTTCCTCATCGGGAGTGCGGCCTCTTTTGACTTCTTCTTTTGAAGACCTCCTAGAGGAACGCAACCGGACACTATCAGATATGATCGACTTGCTCAAGCTGGTTTGTTACGAGTTCCTGAAGAAATATCACTTCCGCCCTCATAGATTCAATGATTCTTTGCGACGACCGGGTTATGAAGGAAAGGATGAAGGTGCTCAATCATCTGGCAGACCCGGTAAACGGTCGAGGCCTGTTTCAATGGCATCAAGCCGCTCAAATTCCGCCACGCCTAACCCAAGACCAGACTCACCATTTGATCTCTGGCAACGAATCAAATCTGGGCAAGTATCGGCGGCCACTTCCAAGTCTGGGCAATCCACACCGATATCGTCTACAGCAAGTCCACTAGCGACAGCAGTGTCATCCGTAAACGAGGAAGAGGAGCAAGACTTACAACCAAGCTTGCGCTTTCTCGATGATTCAGGCAATGTTTTGCGCAGACCTTTCGGAGATGTGCCTCTTCTCGCATCGCCAAAAAAGGCCGCGCTTCCAGGCCAAGCCTCAAGCTCGGAGTCCTCCCCAGAAGACGCTGGACAATACGCAGCTACAGAGACTGGATTAGCGGAATCAGCACAACCACAAGAAGTATCACAGGACTCATCCCAGTTTCCCAACGTTAATACCCCATTTACATCGGCATTCCAGCGATTCAAAGAAAATACTGCTCAGCCAGCAAAAGAACCCAGCGACTGGTTTAAAGGAGTGCTGTCAAAATGGGAGAACCCTGTCTTCGAGCCGGTTCAACCTTTCGTCCCTCGCGTTGATGATACATCTCTGGGCGGAGGCGATGAAGATGTTGGGTCGACACAGGCGATTGATGCTGGATGTTGCCACCACACATCCATGTCCAATATCAAGCTGACTGGGCGCATCTCCAAGGCTGCTCTAGCTGGGGCTGAGGTCGTGTCGCAGGTTGACGCAAAGTTTATCCTTGTAAAACTACACCGAGAACAGGTGTCTGGTAGAGCACGGCCGGAGCTTCAACGGAACTCAGTTTTGGTACTTGTCGATCAGCATGCCGCAGATGAGAGATGTCGACTAGAGGCACTGATGCAAAACTACTTTGAGAAGGCGGATGGGTCCGACGAGGTGATTGCACGGACGCAGGCTCTTGATAAGCCCCTTCAGTTCGAGTTTTCCAACAAGGAGCATCTTTTACTGCGAAGATATGCTCATCATCTGCGTCGATGGGGCATCTTCTACACGCTGGGGGATCAAGAAACAAATGAATGGCGGCACAAGAGCAGGCAATTAGCCAAGGTTGAGGTGCTGAGTCTCCCACCAAGCATCTATGAGAGATGCAAGACGGATCCGAAGCTGCTTGCGGAGGTCTTGCGGAACGAGATATGGAAGCTTGAGGAGGAGGGCAGACCGACTACTCGGCCCTTTACTGCTGCCAAAGGTATCGCCGGTGGTGAGATCGACTGGGTATCCAATTTCCACGGTTGCCCTCAAGGAATCCTCGACCTGTTACACTCGAGATCTTGTCGAAGTGAGTACCCCATGATGAGACATTCGAACATTTTCTGACTTGGTAGGCGCCATCATGTTTAACGACATTCTGTCAAAAGACGAGTGCGAAGATCTGGTGCGACGGCTGGGTCAGTGCGCATTTCCGTTCCAATGCGCCCACGGAAGACCTTCGATGGTCCCCCTGGTTGACATGAGAAGCTTGAATATTCACAATGAGACCTCTCCAGTAAGTTTTGGTGCTGAACTCAGGAGGTCGGGATTCATGAAATAGTATAGTATGGACCTGTTTTGGCGTTGTTGCACTTGGAACTCTATGATACCCAATACTAGATACTCTCGCGAGCTGAATAACTTCATGAATGGATTCGAAATTGAATTGTCTCGTCAAGTGTGAGCATTTCCCAAGTCTCCAAATGCAGGTCATCGTCAGTGACACACCCGGGAAAACATGTGGCTGGTACTTGTTGTTGCGCCTTATGTGGCTGAGTGCATGCAGACGTCTGAGACCCACATTTGTTGGACAGCAGCACTCCCGTGCTGTAGCACCAGCGAGAGCAACAGCTCCGAAGCTCCCCACAGCGGCGTCATTGGAGTGCGAGGCACCGACATCGACCGACACCCAGCGTCGCCCTCGACACAACTCACACCGCCGCGCCTCCGACGAGCCTTCGACGCCGAGAGATGTAGCCATGGCCTTTCAGGTAAACGCGCGATCCCAGGTACTGCCCTGCCCCATGTCCGACACCGACTGACAGACTCCAACGCTGCAGTGGAAGGCATTCGACTTCTTCGACGTCACCCAGGTCCGACTCGCCGACGACGAGACCCGCGCCTTCTTCGAGAGCAACGAGATCGCTAGTGTCTGCTCCGGCTCCGACAGCCTCTTCCTCGGGAGCTACGATGGATTCGTGCGGATCGTCGGCTCGAGCTGGAAGATCGTCAAGAGCTTCCAGGCTCACGATGTCGGGACGATCACACACATGCGCCAGATCGAGGGGACCAGCTTGCTGGTAACGGTCGCTGTAGGTGGACCTTTGGATGACAAACTAAAGGGTAATGTTGGCTGAAATATCGCAGGAGGACCTGAGCAGCGAGCCGGTGCTGAAGATCTGGGCTTTGGACAAGTTGGTTAAGAAGACCAACATGCCGACTTGCCTGAGCACCCTGAACATTACGAACAACAAGAAGCAGTTTCCGGTAGGTGTTGAGCATGACGAAATTCTGTCCATCAATCGCTGACATTCGCGCCCGCAGATATCAGCCATCGACCTCCTCGACAACTTGACGCAAGTAGCGGTCGGCTTCGCCAATGGTGCCGTGACGCTGATCCGAGGCGATCTCATCAACGACCTGGGCGCCAAACAGCGGACCGTACACGAGTCGGAGGAGCCCGTCACGGGCATCGAGCTGATGACCGATGTTCAGGGTGTAACGACTCTCTTCATCTCCACGACGGCTCGCATCTTGAAGCTGGCCATCTCTCGACGAGGCCACAGCTCACCGCCCAAGACGGTGGAGGATCTGGGCTGCAACGTGGATTGCATGACTGTCGACAAAAAGACGGGCGACGTTGTTGTGGCTAGGGAGGATGCTATCTATACGTACACGTTGGAGGGCAGGGGAGCGCCGCGGGCATACGAGTCGCCCAAGCGGTTGGTATCGATCTACCAAGACTACGTCGCGTTGATCTGCCCCCCGTCATCTCCGACCACCGATAAGCCCTCGGACACCATGCGGCGGCGCTTTGGCGGTGGAGCTGCCGATGCCCTCTTCAACGCGTCGACTTTTGTCCTCTTGGAACCGGACCTGAGGGTGATTGGACACACGCAGTCCCTGATATCGCCGTTCAAGGCCATCTTCCAGATCTGGGGCGACCTCTTTGTCCTTACCCAGGACGGCAAAGTGAACCGCTTCCACGAAAGGACTCTGCAACAGCGCTTGGAGATGCTCTATCAGCGCAACATGTTCCCCTTGGCCATCGAGCTGGCGCAGAAGTCGAAGATGGACGCGACGCAGCAGAGTGGCATTTTCCGAAGGTTCGGCGACCATCTGTACCAGAAGGCCGACTATGACGGCGCGATGGTCCAGTACATCAAGGCCATTGACACGACGGAGCCTTCACAGGTTATCAGAAAAGTAAGTGAGCTACAATCTCTTTGGAGAAAGATGCTAACGCATGTAGTTCCTCGACACTCAAAGGATACACAATCTTATCCAGTACCTCGAGCAACTACACGAGCATCGCAAGGCGACGGCAGACCATACAACACTGTTGCTCAACTGCTACGCCAAGCTCAAAGACATTGACAAGCTCGAAGCCTTTATCAAATCTCCGGGTGATCTGAAGTTTGACCTCGAGACCGCCATATCGATGTGCAGGCAAGGAGGCTACTATGAACAAGCGGCGTACCTTGCTAAGAAACACGGTGAAACCGACCTGGTCGTGGACATCCTCATTGAGGATTCGAAGAAATACGCAGACGCGCTGGACTTTATCTGGCGCCAGGATCCGGAGGTGGTAAGTGGTGTACTTGCCCTGTCAAAGCCGATGTCTGACACCTTTGTAGGCATATCCCTGTCTCAAGAAATACGCTCGGGTCCTCATAGAGAACTGCCCGAAAGACGCAACTACACTCTTCATCGACTACTACACAGGCAAATACCGTCCCAGGATACACATCATCCCCATTGAAGACAATGAAGAGAGTGTCGCAGCTGGAGGCTATGTTGCAGGCGCCGCGAATGCCGTCCAGAACCTTTCCAACTTCCTTCCCTTGCCGTACATGAACACATCCTCTATCTCCAGTCCTTCAACACCAGGAAACCAGACGAAGCCGATTAATGGCGATGCCTCTCTCGTCATGAATCCCGAAGACATTCCAGCACCAAAGTACTCGCCACCGCGGCCACGGACGGCCTTCTCATCATTCATCGACCACCCCGATGAGTTCATCGTTTTCCTAGAAGCCTGCCTCAAGGAGCCAGCTCTGGAGGAGAAAGACCGAACAGATTTATACACGACATTATTCGAGATGTACCTCCACAAGTCCAACGAGAAGAAGGGGGATCAGCACAAGGAAGAATGGGAGAACAAAGCCAAGACGCTCATCGAGGGCCAAGACATACCAATGGAGAGCTCGAATGTCCTTCTTCTCTCCCACCTCTCAGACTTCAAAGACGGCACAACGCTCGTCAAGGAGCAATCAGGCCTTCTCTTTGACATCTTCCGCTCCTACACGTCAGCCAAGGACACCCGCGGCGCCATCAAAGCCCTCCGCAAGTACGGCCCGGAGGAGCCCCAGCTCTACCCAGCAGCTCTGGCCTACCTGACCTCGGACCCCCGCATCCTCGAAGAGGCCGGCCCCGTCGAGCTCTCCAACGTGCTCGGCAAGATCGACCGCGACGGTCTCATGGCCCCGCTGCAGGTCATCCAAACGCTCGTCGGCCAAAACGGGTCCTCGGCAGGAGGCGGCGTCGCGACGATGGGCATGATCAAGCCCTACCTGCACGAGACGATCGATCGCGAGCGCAAGGAGATCGCCGCCAACCGCCGCCGCATCACAGCCTTCCGCAGCGAGACTGAGCATAAGCGTGCCGAGCTCGCCGAGCTTGGCTCTAAACCCGCCGTCTTCCAGTCCTCCCGCTGCTCCGTCTGCACCGCGCAGCTCGACCTGCCGGCGGTCCACTTCCTCTGCAAGCACAGCTTCCACCAGCGCTGCCTGCGCGTCGAGGGCGAGTGCCCGCAGTGCGCCACCGACAACGCCACCATCCGCGCCCTACGCAAGACGCAGATCGAGACGGCCGGCAAGCACGAGCTGTTCAAGGCCGAGCTGGAGAGGAGCGAGGACCGCTTCGGCACCGTCGCAGAGTGGTTCGGCCGCGGAGTCATGGGGGCGCCTAATGCTGATACCACGTAGTTGCGGAGAGTGGGAGGGATAAACCGCACAACTGCACGGATTTTGTTGTTGGCCCAGTAAGGTTTTTGGGTGAAGGGTGTGGTGGCGTAGCGTGAGAGGACAATTTTCATCGCGTAATGTAGTTCAGGGAGGGGAGAAAGACAGAGTTCAATACCATGTTGTTTCCTACTGATGAAGATGTACTTTCCCCAGTGGTGGGTGTTGGGGAGACAAGAGTGCAGTAGTTCCTCCAGGCGATGACCAACTAGTTTCCATCTACAAGCATTGCTGAATTGCTGTCGCCACCATTCCTGTTTAATTTAGCCTTCCAGAGTTCGGAATCACAGTTACATCACAGATTCACGAAAGTTCGATGCGATGGAGAGAGGTCATAGGTGATAGTAGACAAAAGGGAAATGTGTCCCAAGTCTTATTTGCTCAAATTTGTGATAGAAGTAGAAAGAAGAAGAAGTAGAGGGGGTTATTGTGGGGTGTTTACATGCCGACATCATCCAACCATTACAGCAGGAGAGAACTGGAAAAAAACAGTTGTTCCTCCGGGAAAACCTGAACGCTCTTGAAAATGCTTTGCATGCTGTCAAGGAAAAAGGACCTTAGACGACGTCTGGGGATAGAAATAGCAACCAGTGGCTGAGGCCACAAACCGAGACCGCCTCCCCTCCATTACACTCCCTTTCCCAGGAGACAAAAGAAAGCAAAAAGTGGGGGGGTGTGTGTGTGTGAATGTTGAAGATTGTTGATGGGTAAAAACAGAAGTCTATTGGCAGGACGCCCCTCGCCTGGCTCCTTTGTGCTTCCGAGCATATTCACCCCATCCTCCGAGTCCTCCTCTCCTTCGTCGTCCCGTCACTTTTCTCGTGTCCACGTGTAATCGTCACAGTCTGCTCTGAGATACCTCCACCCGTCCATACAGCGCCGCCAGAGAATAATGTGTGCAAGAAGAAAGTTGGAGTGAACAGCAGTCAGCTCCGTCCCAGTCGACCAGATGCAGTCCTCCTCTATGTGATGGTGAAGCACATCCAGTCCTGGAATCCGCCAACGTTCTGTTGGGGCCGAGGCAATGACGCCAGAGAAAGAAAAATGTGCAATCTGATTGCATGCTGTTCTTCGAGTATGCTGTAAATAGGAAATGGTGACAACGCCCAACTTATGGAATTTGCTGGTGAAATTCAAAAATCCGCCAGCCGTATATCGATGCTTGGCTAGGATGTGCCTGAAGACAGTGTACAGATAGTTTGGTGCTAATGGTGGCTTCTTCAGTCCCAAGAAGTATGGACCTCGTCGCCATGCACGATAACCTTCTTAGCTGTCTCGGTGCTGGCGATGCTGATGTTGGTGTCTCTCCGTCTCGCGCCGTAGTGAACCCGCTCATTGGTGCTAGCTGTGGGCGTCGGATTCATAGGCGTCTTCTTCTTCGTTTTGGCCATCGTAAGTCCCTCATCGCTGTCGCTATCATCGTCCTCGTCGTCCTGGGGTCGCAGCTCAGGTGTGTACTGAGGCGGGGCCAAGCTCCGGTTGACAGGGCTTGGGTTTATTCGCAGAATGTCCAGCCCGGAGTGCTCTCCGAATGAAGGATGCTCAAAATGCTCTAGGGGGAAGCCTGCAATCGGTTCCTTCATAAACGCTGGAGGAGTAAGAGAATCAGTCGTCTCCAAGAGTGCCGGCCTGGGGTGAATCACCCCGGGTTCAGCGAGTGGCTCTACATCCAAGTCCGCAGAAACAGAGCTAGAGCCGCTCAGTAACGCTGGTAGGGACGGGTCAGACTGGAAGGCAAGCATTTCCTCCTTTGACGGGTGATTGGTTGATGAGACGGGGCTCGTGATTTCACTCGGGCTCGTCAAGGGAGAAGCTAGGCCCGCATTTGATGTTGAACGGGATGACTGCCGGGTCTCCATGGTATCCTCCCTCGACGGTGGAGGCGGCGTGCCAAAGAGCTCATCGTCAGGGGATATCGGACAGGGCAGCTCGGTGGGGTCAAGATTAGATGTAGTGCCATCGGCGTCATTTTGCAGCTGGGCAAGCCTTTGCTGATAGTCGTCAATGTACTTCCGGTGTTGTTCATCTTGGGCGCGTGCAAAAGACTCGGGGGTTGAGGTGTTGTACTTTCGAGGCGGCGGTGTCCTGGCCTCTGGTAGGTTGCGAACAGTTTCGACCCTGTGGGCCGTCTGTGGTCGCTCCTCTAGATCCGCGTTCGCTCGTTGGTTTTCGTAAATGTTGGAGTCTGATTGAGGCTGGCCGTGCTGGTACCCAGTTACAGATCGGGACGAGAAGAACAAAGGCGACGCTAGGCCGCTGCTGCCTTGCTTTGCCTTGCCAAGATCGACTGATCGGACTGGGCGTGGACGGCTCGGCATTCGGTGAAGAGTGCCGGGAGCAACAGCGGTGCTGACACCAACATGTGCGGGGGCGCGCTTGTCGTTGCTAGCAAAAAGACCGCGATCTACAGACCGAGATCGTAAAGCTTCCTCGGTGAGTGCCTCTATGCCTCGAGCCTTGCGGAATTCCTTCATTGGGTCGTCGGTGGTGCCATCATATGGAGTAGGTGGCAGTGTCTTGACCTCAGGAACTCCGGCGGTCAAAGTGAGATAGCTATTGCCGTTGGAAGGGCTCTGAGAGTATTGGTGGTAAGGTCTGTAAGTCGATGCAGTACCTGCCATTGTAGATTGGTCCGAGGGCGAGGCTGTCCCGCTATTTGTCCGAGAGTTGTTGTGACTATTGTGAAAGGTATTTTGAAGAACGTGGAGAAGGGCGGCTCCCTGGCCGATCGCAGGCTGGGCGATGGCAGTTGCGAGAGGGTCATAGGGTGACTCGTACGGCGTGGCTGCTTGGCTGTGAACTAAAGGATGCTCGCTGCCTACGGCGAAGTCTTTGACGTTAGAAAAGTAGTCCTCGCTTTTGAGGCTTTTGCGACGCGAGTCTCGCGAGTGAGGGGTTGGCGGTACGTTGTACATGCTGTCCCCAGCCGAGCTGGCAGCGCTACTGGCGGCTCTCCGGCGAGACTTGCTATCGCTTCGATCCCCTAAAGGGTGCATCAACTTTCCAACGGTTTTCTTGATCGTAGACCGCGCACGCTCCAGGAAGGCAATGGGCACCACAGCGTGCGCAGTCTCCTTATCGTTGACCTGGACACGTCTTCCCTGAGATGGCCGTGCAGGATCGGTGTCATCAATCCAAGTAATGGGGTTCGGGATGCCCTGGACGACCCATGGGTGCCTCTTGATATCTCTCAGGCGGATCCGCTTCTCGGGATTTTTCGTAAACATCTGTCGTAGGAGGTCGTACAGAAGGTTGTCGATATCTTCGTAGGCGAGCTCGTTGTCATCTCTGTATGGCGGTACATTGTGTCGCTTGAAAAGGGATTCAGAGTTGGGAGGCGTGGATGGATCGACAGGCTTAAGGCGCTTGCGAGGGATGAAGACATCTTCGGTCGCGATCTTCTTGAACATCTGCCATTCGTCCTCAGCCTGGAAAGGAATTCTCGCGTAGATGAGACAGTACAGCGTGACACCAAGGGACCAGATGTCGATCATCTCGGAGATTTTGGGCTGTTCCATACGATCCAGATCTGTGTAGCACAGTTCGGGTGCAAAGAACGCAGGCGTGCCGACCGTCTTGGCCAGCTCGAGATCGTCGTCAAAATCTTGTGCTTCAGATTCCGAGACAGTCTCATCGTCGGGCTCTCCATCTCGAATGGGACGGCCAAAGTAGGAAACGCCAAAATCGGAAATCTTGACGCGATGGTCCCTGGTCCACAATAGGTTGGCGGGCTTGATATCCCTGTGCACGACGCCCTGGTAGTGCAGGTATTCCAGTCCCAAGACAGTGTCTCGGAAGGTCGACCTGGCTTGTTCAAGCGTAAAACAAGGAACGTAGGAAAAGTCTTCAGCAAAGGGATCGTGCATCCGAGAATTCCAGTCCACCGAGGACATGTGAGAGATGATGGAGTCAGCCATGCTTGGTGAGCGACCCCGCAGAGCAGCCTCCTCAATGTAGGGCCCATACATTGTTCCGTCAAGGGCCGTGGCAGAGCCTGGGTTGCTAGATCGAAGGGGGCCTGGTGTTTCCATATCGTCCTCGATAGCGAAGGACTCTTGATCAAATGCGGGATTGTTCTTCATGGAGTTGACCGACTGCGATCGTGACGGGGCTCTTGAAGTAGTACGAGACGCCTGTAGGGAGTTTGGCAGAGAACCATCGGCCCCGATTCTTTCCAGCGTCGTGGAATCGTCTTTGGATGCAACACGAGACCGGGAGCTGTAACTCGCATCATCGGAAATCCCGTGCTCGATGCTCCAGAAATCATGGACACCCATATTGGCCTGTGTCATCTTGGCTCGCTTCAACTCCTTGAGGGCGAAGCGTCTTTCCATCAAGAGATCGTACTGTTCCTCCTCCGGCGTGGCTGGTTCGCCGCGGGCTTCTCGTTCGATTCGACGTCGCTCGTAGAGGCAGATGTGAGGCAAACCCTTCTTTCTCCAGACAACTTCGCCCAACTCGACGTGCTCCAAAATCAGGTAGATCTTCTTAAGTTCTGGGTCGTCGATAATCTCGAGCAATGATACGACGTTGGGGTGTCTCATCTTCTTGAGGATGGCAATCTCTCGCATCGTCTTTTCCTGTGGGGACATGGCCATGACCTTGCCAAGACGGCGTTTCTTCGAGTATCGTGGAATGATTTTGATGGCCACGTTGTCGCCAGTCTCGAGATTCCGCGCCAGTTTGACCTTGCCGTGCATCCCCCTACCGATCTCTTCGATAACTTCATACTGATTGATGAGTTTTCGGCCGGTAATGCTGTCGGAATCGATCAGAGCTTTGTGCGTCCTGAGGTTTCACAAGGTTAGCTTATCAGGTTATCCTCCCTGGTCGCGGGGTTTCACAACAGTCCCCCGCCAGTGTAGGCTGGCGACTTGACTGAGGCGTTGCGCCTCTCGCAAGCCTTGAGTCTCAACATCTGAAGCGATCGCGCGGGGACACAGCTATTCTACGGGAAGACTAAG